CCCCCCCCCTTCGCACATTACTGTTATTAACAAACCTAGTATATCGAAAAACGTAAATAAAAATGGTTTTACAAAACAAGCAACAATATAAAACATACATTTTGAATACATTTTTTTCCACAATAACATTATTTATTCAAAATGTGTACAATTTTTTTCGTGTTTTCAGTCAAAAAAAAAAATTGAAAACCAATTATCAATTATCAGTAATCAGCAGTCCTAGCATACTACTTTAAAATTTGAAATTCCTGTTGAAACAACTATTTAAAATACACGAAAAAACTAAAAATTAATTGATTTGCAAAAAAAAAAAAAAATGAAAAAATGATGTATTTGTTTTTTATACTACGTGCTAATAATGACCGCCTTTCGAAAACGGGTTCATTATAAATTATGTGGTTTTTTCAATAAATTATTGATTGATTCACATATAGAACAATTGCGTACATGAAAAATTTACATTGACAGATGTGTAATAATTTTACAATTTGAATTAATGATAAAATCTCAAAATTGTGCATATGATTAAAATGGTTTTAAATACGGTGGTTTTTCCTTTGATTCATTTCAAAATACACGATATAACTCTTAAATTTTCAGGTGCTGAATAAGTAAAATTGAAAATTAAAGAACTTTAAAAACCTGCTATTATGGAAAAAATTGTAAGGATTACATCGATTCATCGACTTTCAATAATCAGATGGGTTATCATTATCAAAAGCCAACTTTTCCACTGGGTCACTTTATAATAGATGTCTGTATGAGAATTGAACTAAGTTTACCAAGATAACCTTGATACTCTAATATAAAATTGATTTGATACTTTTACTTTTTTCATCATTTCAATCATTCTTCAAAACGGAACATTTTTTAAGTTAAGAATCTCGATTAAAAAAATCTAGCAGATGAACCGTAACATTTTTATGTTTTTTTTTTAATATTCGGCTAAATCAAATGGTTCGACTGCATCAAAAAGTAGTCTAACTATTTGAATTGATGCAAATAGGAAATACTTATTAGTCAATTTCTAACTGCAAAAAAGGAGAAAAAAAATTAAGAAAATCTATGTCTGAGTTGCGTATCTCTAGATTTATCGAAAAATAGCTTTAGAAGGCGAAATAATGTAAAAAAATTGGAAAAAACGCATAAACTGCCAAAATAAACCATATTCGACGACATAAATAAAAAAACTGTTTCATCAGATACGTGAATTAACAGTTTTTATTTGGATATTTCCTTTTTCTTATAAAAATAGATACACTTTCATCAATTGTGTGTTTATTTTCGTGCAAAACGACATATTAAAATGATTTTGATTCAATTTATTGTTGATTTTGCACTAAGTCTTCAATAAATGTGTCCCATTTGACTTGCCACTTGGCGAAAGCTTCAATTTTTTCACTATCATTCAGTGAACTGTACTGAATTGAATTTATTGCGAATTTCTTGAGCGTTCGCAAGTCACTGTGACGCGATGCAATTCCCAAAAAGGCAATGTAAAAGTCATGCGACAACGGTGACACCTCCCAAAAAGATGGATCATCCGATGAAATAACAATGGGCACATTTTGTGCCATAAACACTGACGCTGGATGATTACGAAAATCATCAACCAATTTTAACACTTGATTGGATATTGGATTCACCTCAACCGCAATATCATTGCTTTTGACAAGATCAATTACTTTTGGATGTTTAATCAATGCATAACCATGTCCAATTCGACGACTTCCCAGCAAAACTGCATCAATCTACAGTGGAAAAGCAAAGAAACGATGAAGTGAGCAAAAATGAAGAAAAAAAAACTGAAATGACAGATCCATTAACAGCTATAATTACCAAATTTTCATCGACACTGCCAAACCATGCTGTTTCGCCGGCATGGAAGAATAGTTTTATGTCATCAGGCAACTGTAAAATCTGTTCGGCAAACGAAACTAAGCCAGGTGCAATGTCTTCTTGTCCAACCTGTTTTTTGGGATGATTTTTTTTTATTTACAAAATGATAAAGATTTGTTGAATAAATTACCAAATCAAAACCGGCCAAGAACTGTGGAAATTTCGCATGCAGCCGACGAACGATGTCAAAATATGTAGCTACCGTCTCATTGGGCATTTGCTTGCGTGGTGCATATATGAATTTCGAGCCAATAAACGATGGATTATCACGCTTGAATTCATCCAATGCTTCAACATACACTTCCATTATATCCTCTTCATTATATATTTTACCATCCAAATCGTAGACCTTTGCATACGAAATGCAATCAACAAAAAAAAATGGACAAAAAAAGAATCGCATTCAAATTGGAAAATTAGAAAAACAAAGAAACAAATCTAATTAGTAAGATATTCGATGGCAAAAAAAATGTAGACAAATTACGAACAAAGAAACAAAAAGCAAAATTTAATGCGATTTGCATTGATTGCGTAGAAGTTTCTGGACGACAATCGTTTGACATAAACGAAATTGAAATATTAAAAACTTAAACTAATTAAATACCTTGGGCAAGAGACCTCTGAATTCCAAATATTGAACACCATCCGCTTGCATTTCTTTGAGTGCATGCTTGTAATAGGCTTTCCAAACTGGTGCATATGTAACAAGGGGTTCAAATTTAATGAATATACCCATAAAATGAACCCATACGTCATTAACATCTTTGAATTGTACACGTGGATTAACATTTTTATCGAATAGCGTGAACATTTTGCGTAAATTTTCATCATACTCCTTGGCACCGATTTCAGTTCGGACATCTTTGACGAGACGCCATGACGAATCGTTATCATCTGGTTTTCTCTTCGGTTGATCACGCGAAAATACAAATTCCAAAATGTCATTGGTGTTGTTGTTTGACGCTCGTTGCCACAAATCTGGCCAATAAGTTAATGACACCACATAGCTTGTAGAGCACAAAGCTGTATCGTGCGCGTGTAAAATGCCACCCTTTGGCATTTTTTGTATGATTTGAAACAGTTTTGATTGTTTGATGGCATCCAACACTTCGAAAATATGACGTGCTGGATTGAATAGGTATGGCTGCAGGAAACCCGTTTTAAATTCGTCCTCTTTGGCTTTCATGATAATTTTGTTGGCAAGCTGTTCGCTGTCGGTCAGTTTAATGTCAGCCGCAAAACTTGTTTCCGCTTCATTTTTTAGCACTTCTTCACGGTCACGGAAATAATCATGAACTTTTGTACGCGAATTACATTCCGTTTGTGCGGTAACAATGCTATTTTCATCAAGTTCGTTTGTTATGCGTCGACACCGTTCCCTCACACTTTGATTGTGCATTACCGACGAGTCAACCATATGAAATATAACACCGATGCATATTAACAAGAAAGTGTTTCTTGTTTTCATCATTTGGCCGGTGTTCGATATTCAATTAATATGAACTAATTATAGACGCGATGACAGGTAATAAATCGAGCTAAAGAAAATAAATCGAGTCAATTTTACCAAAATTGATTAATATGTTTCACATTTCACTATTTCAAGAGAAAAGCTCTTTTGATGTTTGAGATTATGACACAATGTTACCTCCCATTCGAAAATATCTATGCTTATTGCCATTAACACAGTTCATTTGTCGTTATATTTAAACAAATTCCAGCGGAAAATTAAATTTGCATATTAATGAAAAGTGTAAATATCAAGCGGCTCCCAAGTGTCAGTTTCATTCTTCCTCATACTATTACCGAATTATATGTATTATATCATTTCATACGAAAAAACGAACTTTTCAATGAATTGCTAAGTGAGCCACCCGTTATGCGGTATACAAGTCACAAAGCACTTGTCAAATCAAAGAAAACAAATAAGCAAGATGGAAAGAACGAGCGAAAAATTAAAAAACAAAAGAAGAGAAAAGAGAAAAACATTTCGTAAACGTTTATGTGGTGTGCACTGATAAAGTAAAACACGTTTTGTACGCCGGCTTGGAAAACGGTAACGTCTGACAAGCTTGTGAAAGGGAAAATGAATGAAAATACGTACATATATAAAATAAAATCGCATAAATGACACTCACATTATTCAAAAGGCTCTCTACATCATTTTGGATGCATGCGACGCAACTTGAGCATTACTAATGTTTTGAAGATGCTGTTCTTTTTGCGACAGATTATTTTCGAGATGCTTGTCTCATTTCGTTTACAACTTGCTCTCTCTCTCTCTCTCTCTCTCTTCCTTTCTCTATCAATCTATATCTTGCTTTGAAACGGTAATAAAAGTCAGTCTGTTGTACAAACACCATGTTGCCTGCCTCGCACTTCGTTAACTGCCTTGCGTATTACGAGCCATCGTATTTTTCTTCAATTTATTTATATTTACACTTTTTGATGGTTCACAAAACCAAAGTGAATGAAGACAGACGTAACAGTCATCTATTGATTTTTGAGTCGCATGTGTTACCAATGTTCATTCAATGATATGATACTGGTAATTTCTTTTGACCTTTATTACACAAAACACAAAACGACATTTTATTTGGGCTATTTTGACTCCATCAAAGCACTTTGAGCCATTATTAATTCTCTAACAAAATAAATTATAATGACATTCGATGATTTATTTTGTGATTGTGAATTTTCAGTCTGTTTCGAAATTGCAAAAATGCGCAGCAAATTGTTTATCGACATCGAATTTTGTTTATTGTCAAGATATAAATGTTTGGATGTATTTTTTTTAACTATTATCGAGTTCTTGATTTTATTTCAACAATAGTAGCATTTGCCAAATGGAATTTTTTCTTGATAAATGATGAAGAGCACGGTGATCCATAGCATTTAAGGCTACCCAAATTTATCTCTACTTCCATTGAAAGAAAGAAAAATATCTTCGAAAGGGTTCTCAATCAATTTAAAAATTATTTGGACTGTCTTGACCCATTGTAATACTTTTTTGGTGGTTACGGACAAGTACCGCCCATGCAAAATTACTATCAAATATTTGTTTTATGTTTTTACAAAATGTTTCCTTAAAAAAAACTACGATTATATGCAAAAAAAATTGCAACAAGTGGCACATTTTTTGTCGATATATCATTTTTTTAAATGAACTGATTGAATCATCGTGTATGTGATTCGTTTTATATCTGGAATTTCGAGTTTGTAGCTAAATTTTACATTCCATTGCTGATATTGTTTCGATGGTAGGCAATGGTAATATAGTAAACTCGTTCCGACATTGATGCAATAATTTTCTCACAACAATAATAATGAATCAAGACGACAGTAAATTGTTTCAATCTTTGTTCATCGCAAGTTAAAAAATGCTTGATGAAACGCAGATGAAAAAAAAGTATATTGTTGTTGTAAATATACATTTTAAAAGAATACTACTGTAGTGGATTAAAACATTTTCCGTAAACAATCAAAATGAATGGTAGAGTTTAAAATTTAAACATAAGATACTTTGCATTTCAAACCACTTAATAAGTATTTTCAAACCGAAAAATATGAAATTGTTTGAAATGACCACAATTCTTATTCGATAAAACCAAAATTCATTAAAATACCTTCAGTTGAGCTGACGCACACACACACACAATCAAAGAAGAAATTGAAACAAAAAATATGTTTGCTGGTAACAAACGTCACGCATTACCAACTACTGGTTATGTGATCGACGAACAATTGACTGAACATTTGTTGATTTTATATCAAAGAGTATAGTGCCGGACAATATATGATTGTGTGTTTGGCAAGAGAGTGCATTTGTCACATGCATGTATGTATTTATGGAAATAGTTTAAACAAATCGTATGATTATTTTAATCGTAATACAAGTGTTCGTATGAACTATAAAGTGTATATTTATTTTGCTATTATTAAATTGTGTATCACATAGCGACGGACATACATACATACATGCAAACACTTAGTGAACGAACATGATAACATAATGCTCAACTAGAATAAAATGATATGTATGCGACTTCAATGTGTGTGCAATATGAAATCTTGACAACATGAAATGTATGTGTGAAAATTCTTGTGTTTAAACGCTATGAGTGAGAACTACTTGAAGAAACGCATGAAGCTTCAAATTTATCGGCAGCACTTAACTTATCTGTACATAAACGATTGTGTATCATACGTTGACAACAAAAATATGGTCTACACTCCATATCTCTCTTATTCTCTATGTTTTGTGATTTTCCTTTTCATTTACTCGCATTTTTACTGTGCATTCGAACATGAGAATGGTAATTAATTGAATATGTTTGAATTGTCACTTATAACGATATTTTTCTTTATTGATTTTATTTCAATCATGATCGCATATTTTCTAAAGTTGTGGGCTAACCACTACAAATATGGAATGGAAATAGGAATATTGGTAGACGAGTGATTTCAACGAATTTATTTAGAATTTTTAATCAATGTCTGTATTAGAGAATATGTATCGTACAATGTTTGGCAATTAATAAAATCACTTGACAACATCACTTTCTAAACGTGCCATTTTTTGGACTCGAAAAAATCTTCACACCTTATCAAAATACTTCGTGTATTGAATTGACCATTTGACGGTATACGATTTGGAATTCATGGAATTGATTACATTTCGATCAATTATACCGTGGTCATTTATTTTGAGAAATCAAAAAAGGAAGAACATTGATAGGAATATGTTCAAAACAGCATATGTAACAAAGCAGAGATACGATAACAATGAATACCGTATTTATTATGGCACTTGAATTCAATTTTGAAATATTTGCAAGAATCCATGATTTTCAAGCACAGTAAGTCTAATTAAAGTAGATTATAAAAACCATTACTGAGGTAACGAAAAACAAATAGCAACAAATTACCTCGAATTGTAAGAGTAGTCACGAGCTTATTGTTTTCTTTTTGAATCGATTTGTGTGGACTATACTTCTTTGATTAAAAACACATGCTTTCCCCGTCTCTCTGTAGATTAATAATGAATGTTGTCAAGTCATTGTAAACTGAAAGTGTACAGGGAAGGTTTTGCGGTGAAACCACATTATTTTGCCACATGAATGGCAAACTAAAGAACAAAACATGTACATATAAACGCATCTTTTTAATTAATATCTATTGTTACGATGAAACAGTTTTTAATTGATTTTCTATCCTAATGAATGGTTTGGTTTTTCAATTATGCAAAAGCACATTTTTCAATTTCTATAAATTTAAACCCTAATAGATAAGACAGACTAAGATTGATACAATCCTTAATAGATTTACTTCAAAACTGATGTTGATTTGCAGCAGAATAAAATATCTCACAAGAAACATACACATATTGATAATATTTGTACCGTCGTCGGTGTGTATTTGTTAGAAAAATGCGATTCATTCGCCCACAAAATGAGTCCAACATCAAAAGTAATCAACGCAAAGGAATTAATGACGTATAAGACTGACATCACAATGAAATAATGTATACGACATTGTCGTGAATAAATAATATCGCTCTTTGCTAAATTGAACGACTTGTCGATTCGGAATGAGATGTGGCAGAGAGAGAGAGAGAAAGAGAAAGAAAGAGAGCTAAATGAAATCACTATGATATCAAGGCTAATAGCATCGAATCACCAATAGGGAAATGATAAAAGCAATTATTTTATTCGTTAATAATTCTGACAATTGATGGCATGAACAACGCAAACAATTTGCCATTGGAAAATCTCATTACATTTCGAAAAACCATATAACATTGTGCACGTAAAATATTACATGTTTTGGCTTTGTGGTCGAAAGCGATTGGTATATCTGTTGTTGTTGTTGTTGTTGTTGTTGTTGTATTACGTTCTTTCACACACATCCTATTCTCTCGTCTCTATTTTTCGCTATTGACGCGAAGTTTGCCTTTTGTTTTTCACTCGTTCTCAATTCCATTCGATTCTCTTTTTTTTTCATTTGGCATTGATGACCATACGATGTTAGTACCAGGGGAAATTTTTATTGATGTTTTGCAGCATTTATAAAATATTAATGTAATAAATCATTGCCACTCTTCTTCTGCTGACTGTCAATGTTTTTATAGACGTCAAATAAAGGCAGTCAAACAATAGAAGAAAAAAAAACAATATACAACTTTTAGCCGGTCTCGTTTATTGCTTGTCGTGTTCTATTCTGCATCATTCGGTTCGATTCGGTTTCGACGGGGGTACGCATCAAATGGTTATATGCTGATGGCGTTCAGTCAATTTCATCATCATCTACTTCTTTTTTCATATTCATTTCATTTTTAACACATAAAAGCCATCAATAAAAATTTCCTGATGAGACTTCAATCGTTGCAAATAGTGGCATCGCTTAGGCGTTCCGTTTATGTTCTCCCTTTCTTGAAGGCTGTCCAATTGTTTTCGATAAGTTGATAACGGTAACAACATCCAATTTGTTTGGCCATTTCTTACGATGCGTACGCGCTTTCATTCTCTTGAACACCTTGAATGTTGGCTGATCATCTCACTTTCAACATTGAATGACATCTTTTTTTTTTGTTCTTTCGACATGACAGACTTTACAGTACAAAGAGAGAAAAAAACTGAAAAAAGGAATGAATATCTTCTCATAACATGGAGCCAGCCATTTTATTTTGATTCCTTGAAAACCATTTGAATAATTTAAAATGCTCTTTTTATCTATTAAACCAGTTTCTCTGTATATCTTTGTTGTTCATTCAGACACATTTTTTCGAACTTTGTACAATTCACGCGCTCAGAGTCCTGACTCAAACTATTCTTCGGTTAACTTCTTTTGCGAACTGAAATTGATTAAATTTTGTCGTTTTGTTGCTCATTGCTTGACGTCGTTTTTTCGACGACATGTTTTGCGTGTTCAGGTGTTAAGAAGTTCGTGTTAGTTTTCGACAGATTTATCAAAATTGATTATGCGCTTTTTTCTGCCCTTTCTCTCTCTCTCTCTCTTTCTCTCTCTTTCTTTGTTTCCATGTTTTATCTGTTGGACATTGTTGAATTTTTCCTCCACTTTGTTTCACATTCTCATAGTGCCCCTTGCTGCGAATTTTACTTATATTTTTTTTCTCTCCCGCATGTGTATATATGTAATGTGTCTCATTCGGTATACCGTTGAGAAATGAGAAATGGTACGTAATATCGTTGTCTCCATATCTCTCGAATCATTTCATTTACCAAAATGTTTTTTCACAACTGTACAGTGTACATATATACCGTTTAGCGACCAGAATATATGCTGCCGGCTGCTGGCAAACCTTTTCTCATGTTCACAAATATGTGCTTTTTTCGACTGCATTTTCTTCGTTTGTCTATGTTGTTTTGTTACCAAAACATACTGGTTGTATACAACACACTCAACGATAAATGTTAGCATATGTAATACATTATGTTATTTTATGCTCTCACTAAAACACAAACGCCACATTTTCGACTCCATTCGTTGTATTTATTTTCATTATATCCATTGTTTTGAGAATGCTTTTTTACATTTATGAGACAAACAAACCAAATTGTAGGAAGAAACATGGCAAAGGGAGACCAACAGGCTAAAATAGATAGAAAGCTAGGGTAGCATGTATTGTAAAAGATCGTGACATGTGTGTGTGTGTATGTGGCGTGCGGGACAAAAATGAATTTTGAAAAGCCGAGTATTTCAAAGCGAATACAAGAGATAGTTGAATCGTCAAAAATGACAAAAAAGTTTGCATTTTTTTATTTCTTCTAACTTACAATACCTAGTACAATACTCTGCATATACTCCTTGGGTGGTGTTTTTTTGCTTTCAGATTTCTTTGCATTTGTTTAAGTTTTACATTGTACGGCTGGGTTTTGCTTGTTTGGCCTTATTTGTATGTGTGAATGCAATTGTATTACCTACCGGATTTTCATTCTTTCGTCACATATTGTTGACTCTCTTTTGAATAGATTCCATCGTCAAGTTGGTCTTCACTGTAGTACATTGTTTTTTTTTTTGCTTTGCATTTTTATGTGTAGTACACATTGTGTATGCATTACATTTGCTATGTCGTGCCATGGCATCGAATCGAACGAATGGGCGAGTGATGTCACTGGGATTATTAGCATGCACATTTTTATTCAGTGCGGTTTCTCATATATATTCAAGTTTCCTATTCAGGTTGCTATAGCTAAAGTCAATGTAGTTATTATCACCTCCATTGCTATCGGAAGTTGGGGGGTTACATTTCAGCCGCCTGAAAAATAAAAATAAGCGTCAGTTACGGCTTCTGTTCTGTGCGGAGAATATCTTGAACCTTCCCACTCCTGAAATGAATTCCAAAATAAAAAGAAAGATGTTGTCTCTATCGACCGCTGATAAATTAAAAAAAGAGACGGTCTGATTGTATGGTGATATTCAAATAAAATATTTACTACGATTCAAGCATTCACAGATGAGTACATCAATACATTTGATGCGCATCGCTAGTGCTGTCGTTGTACGAATCAACTGATGCAAGCATCATTCGATGTTTTGTATTGATGTATCTTCTTGTGAATGCTTGCTACAATGAGATCGGACTGGCTGAAATAATTTCATAGTTTTGATAATGTAACATCTGAAAAATAACAACGGAAAAAAATGTTTGTTTTATGAAGTTTTTGTTACGAATGTTTCATTTTTGTGACAACCTCACCGAGCATCTGACCAGTACCGAACTCCGAAAAAAAACTCC